ATAGGTAGATAGGTAGATAGGTAGATAGGTAGATAGGTAGATAGGTAGATAGGTAGATAGGTAGATAGGTAGGGCAGGCAGGCAGGCAGGCAGGCAGGCAGACAGACAGACAGACAGACAGATGACACACATAAATATATTTTACTGGCTCTTGTTTAAAAATGATCAATGAAATTTTCTAATTTGCTAGATTCTTGTTTATCATAGATTTATTAATAAAACAACAGAATTGAATTTGCTGAACTAATGAATTGAGATACATTGATATTTGCTTACGGTATTTTACTTCAGCAGTTAAACTTTTAGGAGAAATCCCGCTGTTTGTACTGCAGTTCACTGATAGCATTTTGGTGATAGTTTGAAGGGATCTTTTCTGCAGGGAATATTATCTCAAGAGATGACTTCCTGTTCTGTGACATGGCTCAGGTCTCAAGAAACATGCATTTTTATGTCAATCCTTCCCCATGTTCGTTGTCCCCGAGAGTTGTCTTTTTAATGGATTTGGGTGTGTCTCACTCCATGTGTATTACAATTTTTAAATCATAAGGATTTTTATAATGTGAACGATGTATGTATAAATAAATAAATATAGTGGGATTGAGTTAATTAAATTCACAGCAAACTATAGTTGGGGGGAAAAAAACAATCGTTCCTTGCAACTGACAACAACGGTGAAAGACAGTAATTATGAATTAGGAAACTGTGTGGAATAATCAAGCATGATAAAATATATATTTATTTCCCTTACTGCAAATCTGATTTCTAAGTCCTTCAGGGAGATAGAGAGAGAGAGAGAGAATAAAAAAGCAGTCTAAATTGTGAAGCCTGAACAAATTAAATAGCAACCTGAAAAATAAATGTCTTGCCAGTCTTCTTAAGATTACTTTTTTTTCAAGGTAGGCTGCCATTAGTTCCACTCTGCAGGTGTGCAATGCAGGTGTGCAGTAGAAATGTAGAATAGTGGAATGCCTGAGGCTACCCAGTGAGTGCCAAGCTTTAGGAGCAGCAGAAATGTGTGATGCAGCTTTTGATAGATTGATGCTTTAAGCCACAGAACAGTGTATGTTTGAAATGGCACATTCTATAAAAATAAACTGCATGTCCACTGAAACCCCAACACTGTAATAGAAAGGCTAAGTATGGTTACTTTGAATGGATGACTGTAACTATCAATTTGATACTGAGTGTGTCGTCCGAATTTATTTTTCATATATATATATATATATATATATATATATATATATATATNTACCTTTCACAGAGGCACTGAGTTTTATAAATATGAGCATGATAGTGTAGAATAATCATATCCAAGGACCAGTGGTGGGTTTCTAAAAGTTTTGGTAATCTTCTGTAGATATGGCCTGCTTTCTGGGTCCACTGTTGGAACCTCTTCTAACCGGTTTGGTAGATTTGACAAACCGGTTCTACCGAATAGGTGCGAACTGGTAGGAACCCACCTCTGCAGCAACTATAACTTGCTGTTTCTGCAACGAAGGCTGTAAAAGTTTAACATTGCCTAATAATGAAAGTGTCAAGCCCAGATACATTTGTGGCTGCTTGGGCCTTGGGTGGTGTCCTATTCTTCTATCTCTCCTTGGTTTTCCCTACTGATGAAGATAACACACACATTCCAATTTTCAGCTCAAGAAAGAAGAATGATTTAGTCATTTCCACCTTTTAAAATAGCCTCTCTCAACCTTTTTATAACCTGCAGGAATATTGAAACAATTTTCAGGTCTCAGGGAAATGTTGAATGAATATTATATCTACAACTCGCAGTAAATTAGTGTGATCAGTAAGTGGTACATATAATCCTAGAAGAATTAGCAGTGCTGTTTTGAATGAACAAGTTTCTTCTTCTATCTTTCAACATACTTTCAAATCAGCTTTAGTTCACTATTTTTTTAGTGAAAAGAAACTTCCCATAGTACCTCGGATCATTTTTTCCTCTATAGACTATTTTCTTGGCTTAAGACCATTTGCCTCACCAGGACCTTCACACATACTGCTAACCTCTGGCTCTAACCCCGGGTAACAGTCTCCAGTCTGAGGTTTCATAACCCTCACCTCCAGCACATTGACTATAACAACAGTAGCATAACCTTCTCTTTATCTGTACCTATTAACTAACTATAGCTTCCCCAAAGGTCCTGTTTCATGTAACAATAGACACAACAGTCCTCTTATATCTATTACACACCCAGACACCTAGCAAACAAACTGAATGCAATCACAACTTTCTGGCAAACTACAAAAAGCTTCCATAAAGCTTTTAATTAACTATTCAAATAATAATTTCTCCTAAATATTATTGCAACTATCAAGTTGCACTTAATTTGTGAGATAAACATTGAAAGAGTTCTGACCAAAATGCCTTGGTCCAGAGAGCTGGAAATAGCTATAAATTCAGTGGCCAAGAGAGCATATGAAAACACTCTATACATTTTTAGAATCTCACTGTGTCCTAACACTGAAAATAGATGCAGAAAGTGGGTCTCAATAAAACTCAGTTCAAGGTAAATCCTAACTGCACTTCTCTCTTTGTCTAGATTTCCCCCTTGTCTTCCCTTTCCTTTGCTTCTCTGTACACATTCTGAAAATGCATTAACAGTTAGGTACAGAGTTTTAAGGTACCATAGAGGTCATCTAGTCCAACCCCCTGCTCATGCAGAAGACCTATATTTGGGATTCGAACCATTGAATTGGCGACCTTTCTGATTGCCAAGCTCAGTATCTTAGCCATTATCAAAGCAGACTCTTTTTAACTGGGACATTACTGAGAGTGGTATGTGGCAAATAGGATATCCTTTAAAAATTAAATATTAAAAGATAATTTGGATGAACGGCAACTCCAAGACAATATATTTCTAGGAATTCGAATAGTAGATAATTTTTGCTGTAATTAATTATGCTTAAAGGGCATTATATATCAGCAAAAAATCATCTTTTATCCCAGTAATTGCACATTTTGTTGGTCACTTGTAATGGAATAATATTGCATTTTTCTAGCACTGAATATCTGCTTATAGGAAATTTAATTTATATATTTCAAACAATGGATTTCCTGTGTGTCATTAAACAATCACAGAAAGAATAATAAAATGGTATCAAAGACTACAAATAACAATGTAGAAAGAGCACAAAACTGTTCTTTGTTTATTATGGCAATTATTAATGGCTTCTATCAGTGAAGATTGTAAACGTAGTTCCACTTCCACCATTTATAGGGGAACAATTAATTTAGCTTGTATTTTCATCTAGACTTTCCAAACTAATATAAAGACTAATGCACTGAAATTTGTCCATCTTTACTGGAGACATAGTGCATGAAGTGGCATAATCATGTTCCTGATCATAAGTGCCTCCTCCTAGGGCCCCATTTATGTATTAGCATAAGCATGTTGAAAGAGTCTTGTCTTCACACTGCCTGACCATTCTACATTCAGTCCTGGGGGATTATTTGCATTCAGACTTTCATTTTAAGGCAAATAGTATTGAGGATAGAAACATTTACAATACAATGTAAATATAAAGGCAAATATTGGTCATCACTTTTAGCACTGATATAAGCAGACTTGTATCTATAAGACCATGCTATCTAGCCAACATTTATAAGATGCACTATTTGATGTGAACTCTGGATGTTTCTCTTTGCTATGGCTTTGTATAGGGCAGGCGATGGCAACCCACAGCTCTAGAGCCACATGTGGCTCTTTCATCCCTCTGCTGCAGCTCCCTGTCCTGGACAACTCTGCAATTGATACAGATTTTGGTTAGGACAGGTAGAAGAAAATGGACACCGCACTAGGAGGAGACTCTATGGTGGGAGAAGCGGACTTCCGGTTGGCTCCAGAATTGAATGGGGGGAACTTCCTGTTAGGACCTTTGTGGCTCTTTAAGTGTTTAAGGTTGCTGACCCATGGTATAGGGCAGTGGTGGGTTCTGGATTCCATTGCAACCGATACGGTGCAACGAGGCCCGGCATCCACCACATGAACGTGTGCAGTGCGCGCATGCGTTCTTACCTCATGTGACACCTCCGCAGTGCTCCAGCTGCTCAGCAGACCATCACGGAGGCACCGTGCGCGTGCGCAGAAGTGCCAAACACCTCAAATACAGGTAAGGCAGGCGGGTGGGCCCTCCGGAGCACTGTACCGAAACAGTACCCGGTGCTCCCTGCAGGCACCAGTACGCCCGTACCAGGGCATACCGCCTGCAACCCACCATTGGTATAGGGATAGATTCAGCCCAGCAATTTGCTTGAGAGTATGGGATGTACGTAGGCACACACATTTAAGAATGTCATGTATTCTATGTGAACTTATAACAGCAAGTACCTAAACAAATATAAGTATAACATAAAAAAATTGGGGTCTGTGTTAATATTAGCCTAATTGCCGATTCTTCACTGTATACATATCTATACTACAGAACGAAAGGCACAGTTAATTTACATCATGTAAATTACCTCACCGAGAGTAAAATTCTTTTTGTCTCCTTCATCTTCTCCTTCTTCTTTTTCAGATAAAGTTGGAGGCTTCAAAAATCAAACTACCTAGATTGCCTCAGGGATCCTACTCCCCTTCTGGATCCAATCAAAAAATCTATGAGCTGTGCGTATGTTCCAATGGGAAGCTGTTTCTGTCCCAGGCTGGATCTAGCTCCACCTGCCAGATAAACCCAAGTATCTGCCTTTGAAAGAGACTGTTTGCAGCAGACTTCATGGCAAGACAGTTAAGCTGCCACTTAATTTTGCTAGAACACAGAAAGCCTATCAAAGACTTGTGTGTATGTTTTGGGGGGGGTGTGTGCGTGCATGTGTGTGTGTGTGTGTGAATATATAAATATATAGATATATATAGATATAAGTATATATAGATATATATATCCTTTTCCATAAAAACGAGGTTTCAGTACAAGAAATTCCAGGGTGATCCTCTTGGTGTAGCATTTATCATTCCTGCATCAAAATGTAAGAACTATGAGTGAACTGGATGCAGATCCTTTCCAGAGTATTCAGATTGTTGAATGTATGTCTCCATTTGTCAAGGGTTTTCAAGCCTCTCCAAATTTAAAGGCTAGTTCACATGTAACATTTAATCTACATAACTCTAAGAAGAAATTCTATCATGTCACAAGAGACTGCACCCAGGTTTAATCTGCCGTGTGTAAAGGCACTAGATCTGCAATTGCGGTTTCCCCAGCTGTCTAGGAAAGGGAGATAGAGAGATTACATTTATATAATGCTGAACACAGATTCATGTACTGTTGGTTCATCTGTGGACATATAGATAGATATCTGTATCTGTGGAGAAAGAGTATTGTGTATAAAGACAACCTAAACATGAAACCAAAAAAGGAAAGGCAGCACTCCTCGTGAAAGTAACAGACCAAAAAGGAAGGTAGAATATATTCAAGCTACAAGTAAAGTTCTTCAGTAAACAGAAGAACAGAGCGAGTTTAAAACATATATAAAACAAACCACTCTTGGAGTGGTTTACAGAGTCTTCATATTGATCCAAATAATCTGGGTCTGCATTTTACCAATCTTGGAAGGTTGAAACAACTTTGAACTCCAGACTGTGAGCAGAGTTAACCTGCAACAATGCATTCTAACTACTGTACCACCATACATCATATAATCAGAAGAGGCTTCAAGAAGGGCCTGGGAATGGTGTCCTGGAAGCAAATCATCTGATCATTACAAACATTCCCTGCAAAAAAAATCCTAAAAATAACTCTTCTAAAAAAAAATAGTGATTAAGCAAAGGTAGCAGCAAAAAGAAAGACCTTTTCAATCATACTGTTAAAACCAAAAACCTAAAATGAATTGCACTTCAGAAAAGGTGATAGGAAGCATGTGGTTTATGTTCTGTCCACCAATATTCTGTATCTTCAATAGTGGAAAAGACACATGATTCATGCAATTGATTCCTTAGCTGATCCCCAAATGTGTTTCTAATAGTCTAGGAAATAGAACTAGTCTATAACTTCCAAGATTTGGGGGAACACGTAAGTTATTGGTTACTCTTCTAACAAGCTTGAAACCTCAAGCCAGTTTTGAGGCTTTCTGGTCTAGAGTACACCAAGCACTTCCTAGTCAGCTCGATTCAGTTTAGATAACATTCTCACTAATGGTTTCAGTGGAGTTTGGATTAAGCCATTTCTAAATATAGTTAGGTGCTTCAAGTCATTGGTTAAAAAGACTTGGAGATACCAGTAAAGTGCACTTTTGATGGACAGTAAAATGCATAGTTACAGATTAGATTTGCAGTGCAATCCTAGACATTCTTACTCAGAAGTAAGGTCAAATACGCTCTATGAGGTTTACTTTACATAGTTAAGGGTGCAGCCTTAGTGACTATATTAAGTCTTTAAAGCATTGGCCAACTCAGTGGTTGTTGCAACCTACTTTGAGCTACTTAAATGCAAGGGGGTCACCCAGGATAATAATTGTATTGGGACACAACTATATACCATCTCTGTTAAAAGAGGGAGACTTGTGCCTATGCCTTAAGTCAATGCACTCAGCAAGGAGAAGCACATCAATATTTATCTTATTATTAAAAACATTTTATCTGATACTTTAGACTAAATGTTGGAAAGAATGGTGATTGCAATGTTTGGAAGATGAATGCGGACTTATGAGGTAGACTTAACTAAAACTGCCAAGGCTGAGAGGCACTGGTAACCTCAATCTTGTTTTTGTCTGAGTAATGAACATCTAAATTTATACTGAAGGTACAACTTCAAATCATCAGATGTGTTTGTGAATTGTGTTTTTGCTTTTGTTGTTCATTTCATACTGAATAGCGATTCACTGTAAGACTCATTTCATTAAGGAACATTTGTCAGGGTGCCCATGATGGTAAATGAACTCAATGCTGCAGAGGAAATAGTCATATTGCAGTGTGACAAGGTTTTATCTTTTCTTCTATCATCAATTTTACCGATAAGGAAAGAAACAATTTTATTGAAATGAACTGCAGGTATCTGGGTATTTGCTTCTTTGTTTCTGAAGGGCTTAACTTTCTGCTAGTTTAGTCTGTATAGTCATTTGGCTCCCGATTTTTAGTTTGGCTGTTAACTAAATTGACAGTAATGAAGAATATTTATGGAGAGAGAAGAAATACAATAGCAAAAGTAAGACAAACAAGCCATTCACAACAGCCATCAAATAGTTTTTAGAATCTAAGCTTAGGTGCTGAATTTGGTTAGCAATTTAAATTAGGCTCCCCACAAACAAAACCTCATCACATAGCCTGGTTCTAAAGTCCATTAATTCAGCTAACATAGTCATTAATGTACATTGGGTTAGAGAAGGCTGTCTTAAAATATGGGAGAAGTTTGCCATCCCCAAAACAACGAAAGATCTATTGGAAAAGATGTTATTTACTTCCTTTGCTAAAAATTACTAGGCTTTAATTTATTGTTCTTTTAAAATCATATGTAAGAAGGTGTTTTGATATTTGTAAAATTACATATAGTCATACAAAACATTTCCTCTTTCTTTGCTCTTTCCCAATCTAAGTTGTAGGAAGCTTAAATCTTCAAAAGTATGATTTGTATGCAATCTATAATTGTACATAAAATCCCAATAATAGTATGACTGTCATTTTTTTAACCGCAATGGTGGTTGTAACAATGCACAATGCTTTTACAATTAGCTTCCTTAAAGATGGCAGATACTTGCCTGTTTTGCAGGTAAACCTATCAAATCAGTCATGGGAAAGATGGATGCCATACTCCAAACTATTCCAATTCACTTCATTGAAAAGATAGATTTCCCATTATATTCTATATTGTTTTTTTCCAAAATAAATAATACCCAATAACAAACAAAATATGTTCAAAGGGTTAGGATTCAGTATTAAAATAAGTAATTAGTAAATTTTTAAATATATGGAGCTCAATTATAATTATTTAACTATTTGTATACTCTGATTTTGATCAGTCACAAATACCTTCCATATAAAGTTAAGATTTGTACCAGGGTGAATGTTTTTAAATAAGGCATTATATATCAACAATTTGGACACATATACAGTATGTTTTATTAATACTTTTAAAAACTGATAACCTCTAACAAATGTTTATTATTTTAATGTAACATTTGTTTCCCTTTATATTCTTCTACTCTCCAATTTTAATTTTAAAAGAGATTTCTACAGGCTTCTGTGGAAAGTAATTGCAAGGGAAAAAAACCTTCTTACTCTAAAGCAAAGATCCTCAACCCCCAGTCCGTGGATTGGCACGGGCTACAGCAATCCAGAAACCAACACAAACAAAGCCCCATAGAGCCGAGGTGGCACAGTGGTTAAATGCATCACTGCAGGCTACTTCAGCTGACTGCAGTTCTGCAGTTCGGCTGTTCAAATCTTACCAGCTCAGGGTTGACTCAGCCTTCCATCCTTCCGAGGTGGGTNAAAAAAAAGCAAAAGCTTAGGATATCTGTAACTGGCCACAATGAGAAAGGCAAAGATAAAATTGCTTGAGTATCTAGAGGTTCAGCTACACTACCATGTTTCCCACAAAATAAGGTAGAGTCTTATTTTCTTTTGATCCCCAAAATAAGCGCTTGGCCTTATTTTCAGGGAGGTCTTATTATTTTGGGAGTGCAAGAAGCGGCAAGCGTGGTCACCTCATGGCTGCTGCTGTGTTGCAATATTTTCAGGGAGGGCTTATTTTAGCGCATGCGCTCAAAGGCCCGATTGGGCTTATTATCCAGGGAGATCTTAATTTTGGGAAAACAGGATATATTTTTTAAGTCTCTGTTCATTCTAAACAGCAGCGCAAAAGGACATCCAATAACCTTTTTACCCATCATAGTTGGATAGCTCTTAAGCTAGATCAGGGATCTCCAAATGTGGAAACTTTAAGGCTTGGAGGAAGGGAGGGAGGGAGGAAGAGAGAGAGAGAGAGAGAGGATGTATTTTCAATACATTCAATATATTCAACCCTTTCCCAGTGGTGTATAATCCACTGCCACACTTTTGTCCTTCCAAAATATCTTGAAGACATGGCTATGCCAATTAGCTTTTTATTTATTGTTCTAAACTGCACTTTATTCAATATGTAAGCTGCCTAGAATCGCCTTTGCACGATGGGCAGCATATTAGATAAATAGATAATATAGATGATAGATCGCAGATAGATAGATAGATGATGGACAGACTGATAGATAAACATACAATAGATGATAGATAGGTGTGTGTGAGAGAGAGAAAACATAGAAGAGAGGAAGGGAGGGAAGGAGGGAGGAAGGGACGAAGGAAGGAAGAAGATACATACATAGGTAGACAGACAGATGAAAAAATGTTTGGCTTTTAAGATTTCTTCACAGAAAGCTCAAGCATTCAAGTGGGTGGACAGAGTGAACAGGCCATTCTGTGGAAAATAAAGTCCCCGCTCTTGTCTATTTTTGGAGCAGTTGAAAGAGTGAATGAAAGAATAATTGAAACAGCATGGGCAATTCTTTTTTGCACGTACTTATCACTTATCACAGTTTAAGAGTTCTTCAAGAGGCAGGCAGAATATATATATATATATATATATATATATATATATA